GACAGTGATGAAACAACTTTATCAGTGTTGTATTTACTGTATTTTAATGTGGTTTATAAATTAATACCTGTCAATCTCAGTCAAAGGCTATTAACTTTTTAATTTATATACACTAAATTTACACCTTTTGTTTCGATTAATGATTTTTAGTCCAAAAGAGCTTTGCCCTGAAGGACTATTGTTTTCGTTTTGCCATTTTGCGTTGAATCACTATAAATGTCCGTTTCACTTTTCAAACTGTGGCCACCAAATGTTAGAGTCTTACATTATATTTGAAGAAATTAAATAATGAAAAATCTGCATAAATGTATCTGTATTTCTCGCATTGTGATAAAACAACGGTACATACAGCCATCGAATTCTGAATGACGTAATTCTCCTACGAATATGAGCATGTGGAACACCAAATTTGAAATTTGCTTTATTATAGATTTCATATTTTGTAAAACTTTAACGAATTTTTGATTAGGAAACTCAAGGATAACCTATTTATCTCAAGCGCGCGGAACTGTCTATCGGAAATTCTAAAGATAGGCTCATTTAAAAATTATTTTGCGACATAGCCATCGAATTTTGAATGACGTAATCCTACTGCGAATATGAGCATGTGGAAGCCCAAATTTGGAATTTGTTTTATTATCGATTTCATATTTTGTAAAACTTTAACGAATTTTTGAATAACAAACTCAACGATTTGAAAGCGAGCAATGGCAACAATGTACGGGGGGGGGGAGGGAACCTATCTCCAGCGCGCGGAACTGTATATTGGAAATTCTAAAGATCAGCTCATTTTAAAATTATTTTGCGACACTGCTATTGAACTGAAATTTATGGTTTGAGTGCGAAGAACATGATATTTAATAAATGAAGGTAACACACAAAATGTAAAAAAAAACCGCCCCTTTGGACGTAATTTAAAATCTGAAAACTTTCAGATTTTTGTTTTTAATATGTTTCTTCCTATTAAATTTATTAAATTGCTTGTTTTGTTAGAGCTTAATTAATTAATTTATATATCTCTCTCTATATATATAGCCTTTTAGAATGCAGTTCCTTGTTCTATATATTTCCAAAAAAAAAAAAAAAAAAAAAAAAAAAAAAAAATGCTGTATTGACACAAACAATGAATGGTGACTTTACTTAACTTAAAAACGACTTCGCTCGAACATTTACTGCCACAAAACTTTGACGAAATTCCCGATTAATTCATCATCTGGAAACATAAAAGGCAGTAAAGTATTAACATTAATTTAAAATGAGAAGTAATTTGACAATTCTAAAAGAAAGTAGAAAATAACAGGAAATATTTTAGAATTTGCTAAAACATTTAATATCTCTGAAATTTAGTTCCGAAATTCAGGACCGATTAGGCGTAGCGTTCTTTTAAGGGCTTTCCAAGTCTACGTTCCTTCTTTTTATGAAGGGGAAAAAGAATTTTTGAGGAGTTATATATTTATGAAAATTGAAGCCCAATTTGTGTGTCCCTAGGCACTAATCAGGCCCTGCCTAAATTTCGCAGAAATTTGCGTCGCGATAAAATTTCTGCACTAACTGTCATTATTCAAGTGCAACTAAATAAAATATATTTTTTCCTATGGTTACACAGAAAATAATTCGTTATCATTTCATTGGCATATTGAGAAGTACCTAAAAATCCCCCTGTTCAAAATGAGTTTAACTTTCACTCAGAAGTCATTTAAATGCTATCGACTTGTGACTATGAATACGCGGGTTATAGAAAGGTGTTAATATTAGTAACTTTGTTCTTTACTTATCTAATGCGTCTGCTGCTGTTCCTGCTTACGCATTTCTTGAATATGTCTGACGTAATTAAAATAACACCAGCGTCCTCATCCTGAAAGGATAAAACGCTGCGGACTTGATATGTGACGTTAATAACTTTCTTTCAGCTGCCCAAATATACTACGTCAGATGCTTGGCGATGGTGGTGGAGAGGAGAAATTAATGAAAAGTTATTTGTTAAGTTCAATGGCCTTGACTCTGAAAGAGGAAATGAGGGCAAATTCAGTTTCCCGTCCAAGTTGTTGGGCGAACGGAACCCAGTCATCTCTCTGGCGAATTTAATGAGTTGTTTTAGTTTTCTGGCTTGGTGAATAAAAGAAGTTAGTAAGATACACGGTGCCGTGCAGAAAAATTATAATCCTCTCCAAGCTGACCGTGCACGAATGCGTTGTTGTCTTAGAGAGGTGAAATTTAGTACTAGTGTTTATTTGATGTTCTCGGGAATACTGGTCACTTTCAGAAGTGGTCATCTTCGAAAGGTGATCCTCACGATAGGGCTTGTTGTATTTTAAATACAAAGACTGGTGATATAATTTTAAACTTATTATACAAAGTCTAATGAATACAAAAGTGGTTAATGTGCTCAGATATATATATCAAAATCGGATGAAGAGAGGAAATCAAAGTGATCATATCATTGTAATATGTATTTGTTAATCTTCAGAGTAAGCTAAAGTAAGTGCAGAAACCAGACAGGAGAAGGGTTAAAAGAACCCTTTATTAAACTCTTAAAAATTCACAATGTGTCGACTTGACACTAACAAACTACGCCTCGCTCGGGCGGTAACTCAACTAACAAGAACTTAACTTAAAACTCAAAGATATTAACAAAACAGTAGACTTTTCCCCAGGGCTGAGATAATCCTGTTACCTAAAACCGCGTCGAAGTCTAGTAGCAGCAAAGTAATAGCAATAAGGCCAGTTTAACTAGCAATAAATGCAGAATCAGAAGCTCGTGCTACAAAGGTACAGTGCTTGCCCATTCTTTTGTAATTTTCGCTTCTAGAACTCGATATTAAATCTTTTCTCCTAATGGCAGGATTTGCATTCCTTCACGCGCACTACCACATTTAAATATTCTTGCATTGACAATTAAGGGAATGAATGTTTATAGGAAATAAAGCATAACCTTAACTGCGTAAGGTGTTTCTCCCGCCTTCTTAGCGTGCCTTCGTAGTGTAGTGGTCTGCACGCTGGGCGCGTATTCCAGAGATCCGTGGTTTGATTCCCGGTGAGGGCGACGCTCATTTTTCATCATTGCTGCTTCCAATTAACCTAATGTCTCTACAGTGGCCCAGAACTAAAAAGGGTGGTGGATGATGATTCTCCACACCCAGAATTTAGCGCTCGGGACCTCTAAAACCCCAATCGCCCTTTAAAAAGGGGACTGTATAAGGTATTTCTAATGCCTTCTTAGCGTGCCTTTGTAGTGTAGTGGTCTGCACGCTTGGCGCGTATTCCAGAGGTCCGTGGTCCGATTTCCGACGAGGGCGTTGCTTATTTTTCATCTCTCCTGCTTCCAAATTACGTAATGATTCTACAACTGGTTATTCAAAATAATTATAAATTACATCATAATAAATAATTTTTTTTTAATCTGATAGATCATAATAAGTTATTATTTTAAAATCTTCTTCTCTCAAAAAAAAAAATCACAAAATTAGCAAAACGGATTCCTTTTTCGTTTTATTATTAATCATTTTCAAATCATGCAATATTCCGCTTTGGAATGACGGGTGCAGTGCTTCGTGTTGCACACATGAAAACATATAGAGTAGATAGACCTTTTATTATTTATTATATTACGGATCTTTTGAAAATATATATTATCTTAAAAAACATGATAAATAAGCGATCGGGATCATACGATTGTGACTCTGGCAGCTGACGAGCACGTTGCCATAGAGCGGCGCTTGAGGTTGCTTGCGCATGCTGAGTGATAGTCTCTTCCATGAGGTTTTAATCTTGGAATTATTGCAGCAATATATTTTATTTCGAATTCTTTCACGTGCTATAAGAATACTGTCAGGTGAATTAAAATATAGCGCTGAAAGTTAATTTCGCTTATAAAGAACCACGAGAAAGTTAAAACTTCTTGACACCTCCCGCCAGTAATTAACAGTATGTCTGTGGTAAGCTATGAAAATAGGTTGAAAGCGAGTGTTCCCTGGCATGCAGCCAATGCAGCTGGAGTTCTCCTCCAGACCTAACGTGACTGCGCTCGAATGTTTTGCCATTTATTACGAATCCATGCGCACGCAACAATACTTATCAGCTGTTGCGAAAGAAAGTGTGCAAGCTAAGTTGCAAATATCCGGGCTGACCAAGACTTATAGCTCACCGGAACGCTCGAAAAATCAAAATCCTTTTTCTTTCCTTTTTTCTTTTTGTGCACCAGATGGAGATTTTTTTTTTTTTTTTTTTTTTTTTAAATATTTGAAAAAAAAAAGAAAAAAAGAAAGATTTTACAGTAAAGGAGTGAGCATAAAACAAACTACAAATCGCAATTTTTTTCAGTACGACTAAACCAAAAATTCCATTCAATTCATTCCAAAATGGTTCATCATTAGACCGTTTATGCAAGTCTGTCTGTCTGTCTCTCTCTCTCTCTCTCTCTCTTTTTTTTTTTTTTTTTTTTTAAGAAACATTTGTACTGGACAAGTCACTGGAATTTTGGATTATTGCAAAATGCACCCTAGAGCTATCTATATAAAGGGTGGGACGAATTCTTAAAGAACTTTCTAGCAATCGCTTACAAAATAAATTAAAAATGATAAGCCGCATATGCAGTATATAGTTGCTTTCCTGTAATGATTCTATGCTGCATGTTTGCCAAACATTGTAGCCTAATCTACATGTCATACAAAATCGTCTAAATTAATTTAATAATTTCTGAAATGTTATGATATTATACTGTACTATCTTTTTATATTAATTAAAAGCACACAATTAATAACATTAAATAAATTAAAAAACAGTGTTATATTTAAAAATGAATTGAATTTTATTACAATAAAAATTATTAGAGTATCTTTTAATACTGCGGCATGAGGAAAATTTGAAAGGTAGCAGAAATATCTTTACTAATATTTGTCACTCGTAGCTGTAAGGGAAAAAAAGGGAAGCCTCTCAAAAAATGTGTATTCAATAATAATTTTGTAGAAAATAAAATCAATTTTAAAATTTTTCTCCCGTAGGCTTTGTCTGACTTACGGCAAAAATCAAAAAAAGATGTGTTAGAAGATACTACATTCTGGCATCAGGAGATCAAAAAAGTAAAGGAGGAAAACGATCAGGTAAACTACCAGTAAAATTATTTTTACTGATAATAAATTGCAAGTTTGTTAGTATTTATTTATTACATAATTCTGTTTCATATTTTTTACAGCATAATGTAATCTCTTTATATTTTTAACAAAATGCATAAAAAATGAGTATGTCATCATTGGATAAAAATATACAAATCTTGGTTCAAAATTAGATGCCTACAAATTGTAACCTTCCCCCTCCCCAAAGAGGGATACAGTGGCGTAGCTAGGGTGGGGCAAGGAGGGACATCTGTCCCCGGGCGCAGCATCCAAGGGTGCCAAATTGATGTTATGCAATTCTAGAATGAAACATTTTTCATTTTTGGCACACTGAAAGGGGTGCAAGATTTTCAGTTGTCCCTGGGCACTGAAAACCTTAGCTACGCCTCTGGAGGGATATAACGGCATGTTTTCACCTTTTTCAATATCCATAAATAAATACAGCCATAGCATTGCATCTAGATTTGCATCCCAGAGAAAAAAATGGATATTTGTAAATACTGAGATTCTTTGTGGCATGGAGCACTTAAAATATACCATGTGAAAAGCATTTTTGAAAGGTTGGTGTAGAATATGATTTATTTTAAAAATATGTTTTTGAGAAAAAAAGGTAAATTTGGCTCAGCATGGAAGATGCTGTTTAACTTGTTAAGACATATCTTTATTTATAAAGCATTTTAGATGCATGTTTTTCCTTTCTAAGTATTACTAAATGTCAAAATATGCTAAGGTAATTTAGAAAAAATTCTTACTGATTATTTCAATTTCTTGGCAATTGTTATTTATTCAGAATTACTATTTTGTTATTTTTTTTAGCATTATCATAGAAAAACACCGTAAGTGCAGTATCCTGAAGCTGGTTCAATTCCTCTTTCCAAAACATTTATTTAGTTTGGTGATCCTTAATGTTCACCAATGTATTGTGTTAAGCATTTCTGATAGTTCCTTCTGTACATTCTCTTGTTATTGTTCAGAATTTAATACCATAGAATAGTGCAAAATATTAAGCTGCTCACTTGAAGGAAAGTATGTTTTCCCACAGTTGTAAATGAACGTCATCAGTAGCAAGATAAATGAAATTTTGTGGTAACCTGTGTATTCCCTCTGTTTGAAGTTTTATAACAGGACTCATATTATTTATTGCAAGATGAAAGTTACAATAAATTTTTGCCTTCTTAACCATTTACAGTTTCAGTAGAATGTTTATTGATTAATTTATAGGCATGGCAACAACGGTTGAATCGCTTGCAAGAAAGGCTTCTTTCTCAAGAAGAAGAACTCCGGCAAGTACAAAATGAAAATGAAGAACTTCAAAGGCGACTTGAGACGCAGTCATCCCCCACTTGTTGCTGTAAGGGAGATATTGTTTCAGATGGCAATGTGCGTCTTGATTCTGCTTTTGAAGATGATGAAGAATGCCTCAATTACAAACCTTCCACTCCTGTAAGTTCACATAAAAAAATAAAAAAAAAACTCATACATTCCTGTAATTAAGCTGCCTAAGAAACAATAATCTAGGAAAATATTCTGTTTATTATTATTTAATATAATGATTACATATAGTTTTATAATTGTTGTCATGTCTATAATATAAGCTATTCAAACAGTGCCATGGGCAAAGATGACTGCCCTGGCAAGCTGCAAAATATTATCATCATAGAGGTTCCGTCTCTTAAACAAGACCCCAATTTTTTAGAGTACAAGATGGATGAATACTGGTAGGGTTCTGAATGTGTTTAGTACAATAACTGTCACAAATACAGGGGGAAAATGCATAAAAGAATATCTCAAGTTTGCATTCATATTACATATTAAACTCTATCATATAACTGTAGATTTAGCTGCTAGGTAGCTATCATAATGCTAAATATCAGTATAACACACATATGGCATTCTCTGTTTCAATAGAATTTTTGCTGGTTAATTTATAGGCCTGTTAAAAGTTGCTAAATGTGAGTTAATTTTTTATTATATGTTAAATTATTTTTTATTTTATTTTCATATAAGATCATTATATGTTTTCGCCTTTTTATAACTATTTTATGCATCTGGACATGCAAGTAGGTAATATTTTACAAGAGCTGGATATGTGCGTGCCTAGTGATGCTGTAGATTTCAGTCTCAGCTAATGATTTTGATTACTTGCTCATTTCATATCGCATATGATATGTATTTTATTATATGATTTTTTATAATTGGATATTTTATATGAAATATCAAACAGGAGCACCTACAAATAAGGCAATCTATATACATGATGTACCATAATTGTTGCGACAAACATCTAGGGGAGGTAGGGCACATCATAAGGATTAAGAATTGGATAGGAACCTATACCTGTAAATGTCAGGGGTAAGTGGTAGCAGAGGTAAAGATGGGAAAAGAAGCAAAAGTGATTAATTTGAAACATTTATTGAACATGAATACAAATGGCGTACGACAGCTTGAATGTTACAACAGAGGCTCGAAGTTTGCACCATCAGATGAATTGAATCGCTGAATTGGTTAATCAAAATTGCATTAATTTGGCACAAAATATAAAATAAATAAATGAAAATTCAAAACTTAGTCTTCCAGGTGCATATGTGTTGGGTGAGAACTTTGGATTGTAAATGTGGTTGCTCTAAGTGCCTCTATTTTTCCACAGTGTGAGCATACATGCATACAGATTCTTCATTATTTAATAAAAAAAGCATTTTTAGACTATGATTTAGAAACCTATTAATATATTCGTATTGTTTTCAGCTTATTCCCTGTATTCAGCAAATAGTCTTCCACAAGAATGACAAATCAATTCATGGATTTTTTTCATATTGGTGTTTGCACATGCCTTTCGAAGCTGTTCACTTTTAATCTTCAAATCCTATCACTTCTGAAGATTAAATCTCTAGTAGTAGTGATAAAAGCCAATTGGTATATCTTCATATG